CTAATAAATTACTACAAAAACGTATAAATAGAACCTCTATCCCCCCACTTTGGACCAAAAAACCAATTCGTAAAAAAAAAATACGTATCTCCTATACTACATTTTCTGACGATCAGCCAATTTTTCAATTGCGAGGATGAGGCACGAAGTGCCGAATTGGCAATCTGTATTTTGGCTTTTTACGTTGCATTCGAATGCCGATCAAGGGTGAGGTACGTAGTGCCAAAATAGTATTCATGATCTGGTTTTGCATGACGCATTCAAATACCAATCGAGGATGAGGCACAAAGTGCTGAATTGTTATCTCACTTGGTAGTACACCAAAGCATAATTTCTATAATATATATTTCTATAATTATACTTTGACGTACTACTGCGAGTACGCTATGTTTTACGTCTCTGGAAGCCTTTCTCGTGTAGTTGGTGCTTTGACGTCCTACCGATTTGAAAAATTTTGGCCTTTTGCATATCACTTTATATACTACCGATTTTCCCCTCTTTCCTGAAAAATTTCTCTCTTTGACGTACTACCGAAAAAAATACCTTGGTGTGCTACCACTTCATGTCAAAAAGTTGGTTCATACTTTGACGTACTACCGGATTGAAAAATTGGCTCATACTTTTGCATATTATTGGATTAAAGAATTGGATCATACTTTGACGTACTACCGATTCGAAAATTTTATTCTTACTTTGGTGTACTACTGAATCAAAAAATTGGATCATACTTTTACATATTACCTTTGCGTAATACTGGATTGAAAAATTGGATTATACTTTGACGTACTACTGAATCAAAAAATTTGTTTGCACTTTGGATCATACTTTTGAGTAGTAATTTCCGATTTGAATTTTTTCCCACACTAATTGTAAGAGATGACAAAAAATCCCCCTTACCTGAGATGAATGGTTAATTGAATGTAACAATATACCTCCTGCCAGAGGTACGCTACTAAACTAGATCATTGATTGATTGAATTAATCGGTAAATTTTGAGTTAGTATCAGTAATAGGTATCGAATCAAAGAGTTCTTGAATTTCATTGACTGATTCTGGTTTATATGGTGGAAGAATCGGAGCTCTCGCTTCATTAAAACCAGTTTCACTGTATGGTTTGTGGTCAATCCAATAAATTTGTTTCCATACTTGTTGACCCTTAGGTCCTTCTCTTTTTCGTTTACTCTTAATAGCATAACCGCACCAATTACCCACTACCGCATTGATGAATTTTATTGTAGCATTAAGATCAGGTAACTCTTTAGCTCGGGACTTAAAACCAAAGAGTAATAATGCGTCTTGTCGAATTTTAACAATTTTTTCCCGTGATTGTTCGAACGCTTTTGACACATCATCACCCGAGAGAATTTTCGTATCATCGATATCAGAAAAGCCTAATGATTGGAATAGGTCATGAACTGCCTCCCATTGTTTTGCTGAATAATATTTATGCAAATCGTTTGAGGCCGGATCCAAAGAATCTAGTGATTCCTCCCATTGTATGGTTTCTTTGAATTTTAAATTTTCCAAAGCTTTTATCGCATTAGAACCTTGTCTTCGG